AGAGCTGCCCTGATCCCCAATCGTTTGCTGCTGCTCTCCTTGCTTTGCCAACAGCCACCCCCTGTCCTGGCACTCGGTGCTGTGGGGCTTTGGTGGCTGTGCCCTTCCCTGACCCTGTGGTTTCCTCCTCCTGCCCAGGGCTCCCCACGGACAGGCTGGTGGTGATGCCGCGGGAGCCAGTGGTGCAGTTTGGGGGTTCGATAGAGCTGAACTGCTCTCTGGCCTGCGTGGGGGGCAGAGTGCAGTGGAGGGGGCTGGACACCGCCCTGGGGACTATCACCTCCCTCCCCACCCACAGCATCCTGCACATCAGACACGCCACGGTGTCCACGGAGGGCATGAAGATCTGCGAGGGCATCTGCCACGGGCAGCACCACCAGCAAACCGCCAGCCTGAAGGTCTACGGTGAGCACTGTCAGCCTGTCCCTTCCACCTCCCGGCACAGCCCTGGATTCCCGGGGCAGCTCCCTCTCTGCTGGGCTGTGCTGCCAAAAATCACCCTCAACGTGTGACTCCTACGCAGCCCTCCCAGACACTCTGCAGCTGGAGGCAGCACCGCACGGACTGCGCCCAGGGCTCTCCACCACCCTGCGCTGCTCGGCCACACGAGTGTACCCCAACACTGGGCTGGTCCTCACCTGGTACCGTGGGCGGGAGGTGCTGGGGACAGACTTCAATGTCACAGAGGCTGAGGAGGAGCTGTACAACATTGTGTCCACCCTGCCGCTGGCCGGGACGGAGGTGGCAGCAGGGGTGGAGTTCAGGTGCGAGGTGATGCTGAGTGTGGGGCCAAAGAACTTCACCCGGGTGGCATCCATGGCAGTGAGTGCTGGGGGTGAGTGCCAGCAGGGCCTGGGGACCCTGACTTGGGTGTGCCTAGTCCCTGTTCTGCTGGGAATGGCTTTGCTGTCATGGGAGCAGCCCTAATTTCTCCACTGCTCCGTGAACCTCCTGTCTCCATCCCTGCTGCTTCTCTCACTTGCTCAGGAGGAGGAGGATGGGGCCGTGGGGCAGTGCAGGGGGAGGGAGCTGTCACCCCATGGGGGTAGCACATGCTGGAGTAGCCTTGTCCCAGCTCTGAGCAAGGCCACGTGTGACTGAGGCCACTGTGTGTCCACAGCAGT